AGTCTAGCTTCCAGAGTATTGTTAAACAAACGCCAACAGTTTCTTAGTTTAGCAAAGAACCAAGAGAGCTAGAGCTGGCAACTAACGATTCATCAGATCAATGCTCTGCATTACCTTCTTCAGTTAATCAACAATCAGTTGGTCTGCTAAAACCCATCAACTTAGTATCATAAGAAAGACAAAGAAATAATGAAAATATTGACAGTTTAAGGAAGGCTGCTTAACCAAAGAATGTTTAGATATCGGCGTAAAAAATATTAAAGAATCAGAATGTTGCAAGAGTATATTTTCTAATAATTCTCTATCGATCAATTTGTTTTAGCTTGGCTGAACAGAGATTCCAGAATGCAGACAGTAAGGAAAACAAATAATGTACTAGAAATATCAAAAGACACATACGCAAACAGATCAGAAAGAGTATTAGCTTATAAGGTCACAAAGAGTGGGTGGATTGATGGTGAGTCCTATTTACTCTTCATAATCAGAGGCTACCAATAGGGGGGAGATTATTTATTTTGCATAAACAAGTATCACTGCTAAAGAAGCATGGAAAAACCAGCTGAAATTATCTTAACTAACTGTTAACTTTTGTGTTATTTATTTAGAGAAGAAAGACTATGACTTTTTATGGAGAAGTTGACGCAAATAACATATTCCTCCGCAAATAACGGTCCTCTGTTATTATTGCTAATGTTCTTTAATGGAAATTTCAAAATTAATTCATTCAAGAAATGACCAATTTTACAGGACAACATATATTTGACATAAATTAACTACCCCGTGTCATTTATGCGCTGGAAAGAGATCCTCTTCTCTTTGTAGTCACCTATTTAAGTAGTTATATTAGGACTGGCTGTCGTAAGATTACACGGCATGATTGTGCTAATAAATTCAAATTTGCAGTTCCAATAGGTTCTTCATTAGTACGGTTCACCACTCTCAATTGAAGATTACAATCTGGCCAACATGACTGAAGGAAAGCGATATATAAAGGCCCCTATAACTGTCGACCCAGTGTCCCTTAACCAATTAATCCGTCACAATTCTAATGATGAGGTTTAAGCTATAGTGATGTATTATTATGTCCTGTCCGCATCGATAGTTGGAGGAGACAAGAAGCTTCCAGGTGCAGCAGATTAATAAAGACTGCGACTATCTGAAAGAATAAACAAAACAATGGAATTTGTCATATATTAGGACACCCATAACCTTCTGTTCACCCTCCAGGATACAACACTACAAGTACACACCCACGACAAAGCACATTACTGTTTGTAATATGGCCTAATACTTAACTCGACACACGCAACAAAGTGGCTGAACCCCATGACTTCAACGCGTATAGCCACATACTCACATTGAACACTAAACTCAGTCACACGGGAACATCTATACTACAGGTCACCTCATTTCGCCAGAAGGACTTAAAAGAACTTACTATGAGGAGAGCAGTAGCGATATACCGGGGCTATAGAAAGAGCTGTAGGCCATAGTGATTCTAGATGACATCAAAATATCATTCCCAAGGAGCTATCCATTTAATAGCCTTGACGTGGCTCAGTATTAAAAACTCGAAGCCCATACACTGGACTCAATTTACTTCTCTTGGCGAGTTGTCACACTCTCCTCCTTCCTATGTAAGAGGTCGGTAGGAGTTCACCGAGAATGGAGCAACAGGCAAAGATGAAAAAAAGACAAGAGAAAAAGAGTACTACAGAACTACGGAAGCTGACAGAGATGATGTCACAGGATTATCATCCCATCTATTCCGTTCATACCCAGGGGATATTTGTTGGACACTTGAGGTGTTAGATGGGCTTGTGCTGCGTAAACAGAGACCACCACTTACATGGATGGAATCGCAGAGTGTTGAAGAGCTGCGTGAACGGAAAGCACTCCGCCGCGATACACCAAATAAGTCAAATTTAAATCCCCCCTGCGCGAGCAAACGCCCTTCCCCGCCGCTTAGATGCAGAACTTGTTGCCGCTCCTCTCCACCGGCCACACTGCCTGCTCCACATTACACGCTTGGTGATGATATAACAGTATGAATGAAAAGTATTCAAGCGCGTGCCTGTCTCCGTCCCTCCCTCCTGTCGCTGCGCTGACGCGGGGCGAGGCCAGACAGACCAGGACTTGAAGCAGGATGTGTCTGGTTCAGGGAGGTGAATCTCTTTTTTTGTGATGGTGGTGGCAAACATTATGGCCAGCTTTATCGACACCGACTGCTCTGACACATCTCAAAAGTGGCCCCAAATAAATTTGCAGGCTGGTGGGTGGCGTGACGGGCGCTGTGGTGAGGGCGCGGCGGCGTGTCAGCACATGCGAGCAGAGATGTTTGTTTACCTCCTTTAAAGGTGCTGAGACGCTGCTTCTGTCTTGGGGGTGGAGGGGCTGAAGATTGAAAGGTGTGATCGGCAGTTTAGTTCTGGTATTTTAATGTGATTTGTGCTGGTCCTGTTTAAAAACTATCTCCACCCCTCAATACTCCGCTCGCCAGGTGTGATACCTTAAACTCAGCTTCCGTTCACAACTATTGCAAGACTCTTTGTAAAACAAATACATTCAGTTGTTTTCTTCTCCCCTTACTATGCAATATCTGACACAAGGCTCTTTTCATGTAGTAGTACATAAATTACCATAGGAGATGAGATATACATTATTGCTGTTTTACAAAGACCAGAGTGATTGAATGAGAACAAATAAGTATATGCGAATAGCAGATGGGGAAATATGTCCTCTAGATGTTGGCACCACCATTTGTGTGCGTGTTTGTGTGTGTTTGAGCACTGGGGTGAGTTGCTCTAATTATACTCTCTAATGGAGAGAACAGGGTCAGCCGCCGGCCTGTCACACAGCGAAATCAGGTACATTCTGTGTGAGTTTGTGTGTCCATGAGGAAATGAAGTAGAGTGCATAAGAAACTAAATTTGCCAGTGTGTAAGAGAGTGTACGTGAGCATATTCAGTAGTAATGACTCAAATCTCATTCATTGGTAACACCAGGCTGCTAAATGACCAATCAAAAGTCATTATCCATTAGCCATGTAAATGTGGGTTACGCTACTGGAGGAAAATTCTCCTTGATTAGCTTGTTAATGGAACTCACACTAACGGTATTCTAGCAGCTCTGCCAGCCTGATACGTGTGTGTGTGTGTGTGAGTGAGATAGAGAGAGATAGAGAGAGAAGGTGTATACACAGTACAGTAGGTGTGTATGGCTCACAGATTATATTGTTATCTCCATCCTAAATTCTCCTCTCTAAAAATGTGGATTTGGTCCCAGAATATGTTGAGTTATTTTTGGTTGTTTTCTGTTTTCCATCTCCCAAAGGACTCACATTGAGTGTGTTTACATTTTTTTGGAGTATCCTGGGTATGTTTTGCGTATGTAAACGTCATATCCTGGTTTCAGAAAGCTGGAAGACCTTAACCTGGTTTTGAGTAACCTGGATATGCTACTCCGATAGAAACCAGGATACTGTGGCATGTAAACACCTGATGCAGGTTTCTGGAAATCAAGACACACATGCATGCGGACAAACAGAAACATGAATACTGTTGATAAAGAAATACAGGTATATATATAAAAGGTATACTATTACTATTTATCTAGCCCTGTTAAACTCTTTTGTTTTGATTGTTCAAAAGAAAATTCAACAACTAAATAAATTAAGACCCTTTATTAGGACTGTGTAGACCACATCTATTTTCAAAATGTATCTTATTCTGTGTTGCCTTAGATTCAATATTTACAATTATAATAGTTTTTGATGATTTCCTCTACAATACTAATTTAAGACAGGCCAAGATGCGTGCACTGTGGCTGCTTCCACACCTATTGTTTAGACTAAGATTATTTCTTTAATAACTAGAAATAAAAAAAGGTATTGTCTGTCAGTATCAATAGATTAAGATTAACAGGCAGTGGTCATACTGTGGGTGCACACAAGGCCAATCTATGGTGACTAGAAAATAGCTAAATACCCTATATAACTAACTAAAAAACATATTTGGGCAAAATCTACACAAACAAATCCGTGTATTGCCTTCATGCCTGAAGAGAAAATTTTGACTTTTCAGGACTGTTTTGGCTTTTTGAAATCAGCACATAGACAAGATTTATTATAGTCTGGATCTGAGGTTTCCACCGTTATTATTATTATCATTATTATTCACTTAATATTCATGAATTGGACACTGTGTCCATGCAGTGGTGTGAAATTCCATCATTTGTGCTGCTAAACGGTGCTGCATTCACTGCCACTTGCCACATATCATTTGTCAGAAAATCAAACCCAGGAAACAAATGAAAGACAAACCTAAATAGCAGCAGAGGCTCCAGCTTGGAGGCGGAGAATTGTTCAAGAGAATTGTACTCAGAAATAATGAAGGCATGAGTCAAAATATGTTAGAATAAACCTAATCTTTTCCACATTTAGAAGAGTGCGCATGTAATTATTTTTCACTTTAGTTTTTAGAACTATTTCTGATAGCTAACATCTTGTTTTGAGGTGTTTTTCATCTTTTTAAATATCTCACTGTGACTCCAAAACTTCTTTGTCCATGCAAAGATCCAGCAAATATCAAAAACAACCAACATTTACATACAATTTCAGACGTTTCCTGGCTGGATGAAGCGCAAAATGTTTGTGGCTTTAGTGAAGAAAAGTTCAAACTGAACAGAAGGAAGTATCATCCAGCAGGTGGGTTGTCATATAGATGATAGAAATGGCTGAAGTTATGAACAGATGGGAGTTTGGGCTTATTGATGCAGCAAAACACTGATCACATTTGTTGTTGACTACGACTCTGGAGCCTCTCACAAACACACACCTGTCTAATTAGCCGAGAGAGTAAGAGAAAAAGAGAAGGAAACAGGTAACATCTGGACACACCTAATACACAGGGAAGAAAGATGATGCTTTCAGAGTCTCACAGTCGGGAGGGATTTCAATGTACCTGTCAGCAGCAGTTGGCTTGCTTTTCTTCTGCGGTGCCTTCTTGGTCTTTTTCTTCTTTTTTTGTTCCGATTCAGATTCACTCGAGCTGTTTTCAGATCCACTGGAACTCTTTCCAGAATCAGTGGAGGTCTTTTCTGACTCCTCACTGCTTTCCTCCTCACTCTCACTGTCTGACTCTGTACAGACACACATACAGTAAGATTACCAAAAATACACCTGGTCAATTAAAGTTATAACCTGTACATTTCCATGAAATTATACCTTATTTTTGATTACTTCTATGATCGGTATTTTTTCAGCAGTGCCAATCAATGTATTTATGTTCTGTAATTACCTCTCTATATAGTAGCTTTTAATGTTAGAGGCTGAGTCTGCCATTCCCACCAATGTTTAAAATTGCTATATATTAATATTTCCTATTGCTAACACTTCACATTAAAAGCGGTCCACTGGCAAAAGATGGGGTGGCTTTTATTGTGAAGCTGAAGATATAAAATGCGTCGTGTGCAGCATAAAATCAGATCACATCTTCAAACACACACAGAAACAAACCTTCACCGCTGCTGCTGCTGCTGTCTTCACTGCCACTGCTCGCAGATCCTTCTTCTTCTTCTTTCTCCTCTTCATCGTCCGAGTAGAACTTGTCATCAGATTTGGATTTCTTGGTCTTCCCAACTAATGGTGCCCACTCCTTCACCTATACGGATACGGTGGAGGTGGAGGTGAACGACATTTTCATGAAAATATACGTACAGACCCATTAGCAGTCTGTGAAAGGGAATACTGTATACCTCTCAATCACTTTAATATACAATGAAATGAGCCAATTAACCAAAACCATAATTAATTCAATCGTTTGCTGGCATTTATTTTGTTACCATCTTTTCTGTTAAATCTGCATTATTTTCAAAATGAGGAATAAAGTTTGTTGAAATGGCCGCTTGTGTTTAGCTTGTTTATTGTTTTATTAGGATCTCCATTAGCTGCCACAAAATAACAATGATAAAGCTTGAGCTGGTGCTCAGACTAAAAACAGGATCAATAACATCCCTCACCAAAAAACAAAGACCTTAATGTTTGTTCTTTAACTTATAACGAGGCACAAAAAGCTCTCATCTTTGAGCTGCATGTTAATGTCTCCAACACAAACTGAAGTATCCCACAAAACAAAAGGAGGAAAATGTTAATGTTGGAGGACAATAAATGTCTTTTTCAAACAGCTCCAACTCTCTTTTCTTTTAAATCAAGGCTTAAAACATTTCTGATCATCACTGCCACTTATCAAATTAAATGCAGGGGTTATTCATTCTTATTTTGCACTCTACTGTTATCATTATTTTTAAACTTGTCAAAGGTATCAGGCTGATGTTATTCTTTATTTTTCTTACTGTCAACAAATTCTATAAAAAGACTGAAAACAACAACGTGTTTGTCCGTGAGAGTGAGAGTCCACTGGTGCCTACTGAAGGAAATGGGTCTCATATATATACAGATCCATTTCCTTAAACAGCTGGACACTTATGTTTTAGCAAACGTTACCCAAAAACTGTATGGCACAGTGGAATAAGATATATTATAAGGCAGACACAAAAAATACTTGTTAGAAGGATCAACTTGGTTTTCAATAAGTGAAATAAAGAGAACTGCCAGTTTTTAATGCATTTTTATGTCTTATGTAAATCACTTCTTCTTGAAAGGTGCTATACAATTAGACCTGCCTTGCTTTTTAACTCTAGAAGTCAGAAGTGTTAAACTATTGTGTAATTGAGTTGATTCAGAGTCAATTTATTTTGGCCATTCTGCATTTTTCTGCAGAAATTGGGTTCAGTAAGCTAACAGTCGTGTGTCTCTTCTCTGAGCTTTTCAATCACTGGTCTGTTGGACTTTATACTTACTGGATAATGTCAATGCTCTCAATAAAAGAGAGATAAATAGTGCTCATCATTTTTATCAACCTGGCACTTTGTTTGGTTAGTGTGGGATGGTAATGTTTTATTTTTAACTTACTTTGCTCATTAAATCATTAAAGATACACTCAGAAAAGTTATTCTCTGTAATATAAACATCTAAAAGAAATAGCAGCCTAACGAGAGGTTCCTGATATCAACAGCACTTTATAATTAATTGATGAACTAACGATAATTATAGTCTCCCAATCATTTTCTCTAGTGATTGATTAGGTTTGGTCAATAAAATGTCACCAAATTGCAGTTTGAGAGTGCAAATGCAGAATTTTTTTTGCCATATTTGCTTTAAAAAAAGGCTTAAACGATTCATAGCTTATCAAAAATGTTGGCGATTATCTTTCTAGCGATCAATTAATCAACAAATCATCTAATTGTTGCAGCTCTATAAACCATGATAGTGAATGATGATGTATTTCACACCACTACAGTCTAACAAAGTATTTAGAAAGTACCACACTAAACAGTAGGAAACCACAGCGTCGACTCATTAACGTTTACAGAAAGACAGATGTCTCATTCTGTTGGACTGAGAGCTGAAGAGACGATAAACTGACAGACAGGTGTGAGGTAAAACTATGACGTGTGTGAGGAAGATGGATTCCTTACTGGCTCAATGACCTCCACGTTCCTCACAGACTGGTCAGGAGCAACAGCTGGCCAGTCTGAGAGCTCCTGGTATCCAGTAGCTTTAGAATTGATGCTGTGGGAGAGCGTGCCCAGTTGGAAACGGTCTCGATCTGAAAGTAGAGAAAAGATCAATTTTAAAAAAACGTGGGGAGGAAAAAGAACACAAATATGAATGAAACACAGAAAGTTCTTTCTATTTCTACTTCTCCATTGCATTTTAACTTTAGTTAATTTACAAATCAAGATTTTTGCATACAAAACAATATAATGTCATATAATCCGCAAATGAATCCATAATGAAAACAATCAACTCAGTTCCAGTTTAATACAATATAGTTCAAAATGATC